TGTTTTGTACAGGAATATAGGTCTTAATATAATAATATAATGTTTTTGTAATTTTAGTTTTGATCATTGTTAAAATGCCACTGGATATGTAAATTATGTGTATTTGCATTATTGATTTATTATATTGATCTCGGCCTTCAGTAATGTAAAGTGTGATGGGCCAACATGTGATTTGTGGGCTGCAAAAAATGTTTTGGCTGAAAAAATATATGGGCTCAATTGTGTGGGCTGAAAATTGTATGGGCTGCAATCCTAAAAAAATATAAAAAAACGAAAATGAATAATGGGCCAGCCAGCAACGGCCCAAAAAATATTTGTGGCCCATGAGCTACGTGGGCTTTAGTAGGCCAAATCTAATTTTGTGACGTTTTTTTCTGCCATGTCGCCTGCCATGTGGCAAGGCCTAGAATTTTGTGACAATAAAGCAATATCATAAGCTTGTGACAATAAATATACAAACGTCATATGATCAATTTGTGACGCTGGTTTTTTGACGTTTGAATTTTTGTCAACTTAAAGTCATAAATCTTATGTTGTGACAATAATTCCATATGTTTTGACATAAATAGAATGTCAAAAAACCACAGATGTCTTGTAGTGATCCAACCCAGCTCTTCACCGTTTTCTTCACCCGTGCTGCTTGTCAGGAAGAAGGACGGTTCATGGCGCTTCTGTGTTGACTATCGTTACTTGAATGCCTTAACAGTCAAGTCTGTGTACCCAATCCTAGTGTTTGATCAGTTAGTAGATGAGCTTGGACACGCTAAGTGGTTTTCAATCTTGGACTTATACTCTGGTTACCACCAGATACGATTGCAACCAGGTGAAGAACATAAGACTGCCTTCTCGACACATGCAGGGCATTATGAGTTTACTGTGGTTCCCTTTGGACTCTCTGGTGCACCAGGAACTTTCCAAGGCGCCATGAATGTCACTCTCAGCCCTTTACTGCGCAAGTGTGTCATTGTATTTTTTTATGACATTTTGGTGTACAGCTCTTCCTATGAGGAACATTTACAACACTTACAACAAGTGCTAGATCTCCTCGCCAAAGACCACTGGGTTGTCAAGCTCAAGAAGTGCCAATTTGCCAAACAAGAGATACACTATTTGGGCCATGTTTTAAGCGGTGGCGGCGTTCATACCGACCCTGCCAAGGTTACAACGGTTCAAGAGTGGCCGCAGCCAGCCAACGTTCGTGAGCTACATGGGTTCCTGGGTCTCGCCGGCTTCTACAGAAAGTTTGTCCGCAATTTTGCAGTTGTAGCGAAGCCGCTCACTAACTTGCTCAAGAAACACACCTTGTTTGTGTGGACCTCTGAACACCAATTGGCTTTCGATACTCTCAAGCAAGCTCTTTGTTCAGCACCGGTTCTGGGGATTCCAGACTTCTCACAAGTCTTTGCCATTGAGACTGACACCTGTCAGACCGGTGTAGGGGCAGTGCTGTTGCAAAATGGCCACCCACTCGCTTATGTTAGCAAGCCATTGGGCGCCAAGAATCAGGGCCTTTCAACATATGAAAAAAAAATCTTGCCATCTTGATAGCAGTGGATCAGTGGTGCTCTTACCTACAGTTGGTCGAGTTTGTCATCTATACTGATCAGAAAACATTGATTCACCTCAATGATCAGCAATTGCATACAGTTTGGCAGCAGCGGGTATTCACCAAGTTATTGGGGCTGCAGTACCGCATCATCTATAAAAAGGGATGTGATAATAGTGCCGCTGATTCTCTGTCTTACCGGGCACATCCTGAGGAAACCTGCTGTGCCGTTTCTGTGATTACACCGCAATGGTTGGATGAAATCATCTCCGGGTATCAGCAAGATTCCCATGCAACTGCCTTGCTTGCTAAATTAACCACAAGTCCTAATGTCGTACCCAATTTCACCATTGACAAGGGGCTACTTAAGTTCAAGCAACGCATATGGGTTGGCAACAACCCTGCCTTGCAGCAGAAATTGATTCAAGCATTGCACAGTTCGCCAGTGGGGGGACATTCAGGCGCGCCAGCAACCATCAAACGCATCCAATCGCTTTTTGCTTGGACCGGCAGGACAAAACTTATTACTGCCTTTGTCCAGAGCTGCCCAACATGTCAGCAAGCCAAACCGGAACGAGTCAAATATCCATGGCTGTTACAGCCACTGGCAACTCCTTCGGCTGCATGGCATGTTATATCCTTGGACTTTGTTGAGGGTTTACCAATTTCTCATGGATTCAATTGCATTTTAGTAGTGGTTGACCTCTTCTCCAAGTACAGTCATTTTGTCGCTTTGAAGCATCCATTCAGTGCACTATCTGTTGCTAAGATATTCATGCAGCACATATATCGTCTCCATGGTCTTCCAACAGCCTTAGTGTCAGATCATGATCGAATCTTCACTAGCCAACTTTGGCGTGAGTTGTTCCATTTGGCAGGAGTCGACCTTCATCTTAGTTCCGCATATCATCCGCAGTCTGACGGACAAACGGAACGAGTGAACCAATGCATGGAAACCTTCCTCCGTTGTTTTGCTAATGCCGCTCCGAGCAAGTGGTTTGATTGGCTCCATCTTGCAGAATACTGGTATAATACAACTTGGCATTCAGCAATTAACAGATCTCTATTTGAAGCCTTGTATGGTCAGTCTCCCAGGCAGCTCGGTATTGATTCCACCTCTGCCTGCTCAGTTGATACTCTTGATGACGGGCTTCAGCATAAATCAGCTATGCAGTCTCTGATACAGCACCAGCTTAGCCGTGCCAAGAACCGGATGAAGACTCAAGCTGACAAGAACCGCACTGAACGTTCATTCAGCGTGGGTACATGGGTTTACATCAAGTTGCAACCCTATGTCCAGAGTTCCGTCGCAGCACGAGCCAATCAAAAAGCTTGCTTATCGCTTCTTCGGCCCTTTCCTGATCACTGACAAAATTGGAACTGTGGCTTACAAGCTGAAGCTACCGGATTCATCTTCCATCCATCCGGTGTTTAATGTTTCTCAATTGAAGGTGGTGGTACCGGTAACCCATACTGCTCAACCATTACCCTCTTCACTCGATGGTTTGCAGGTTCCTGAGCGTGTGCTGCAGAAACGCGTCGCCAAGGTCGGTGCCGATGTCCGTCTTCAAGCTCTCATCCAGTGGTCAGGCATGCCATCTTCTCTGGCCACCTGGGAAGATATGGAGACTCTGCGCCAGCGCTTTCCACGAGCACCTGCTTGGGGGCAAGCAGGCTCTTATCGGGGAGGGGATGTCAGCACCCGTACCACTACATCAGCAACCCAGGAGGATAACGGGAACGACGACGGCCAGCCTGATGTTCACGGCGACATTCAAGCCGAGCATGGGCCGCGTCGAGGAGGGCGTGACCGCAGGCCCAACATACGAGTCCATGGGCCGGAGTGGAAGTGACCGACCATCACCTGGCGAGAGTGCCGTGTCATCTCAGTATATGTAATCGGAGAGAAAGAGGGGGGGAGGATATCAATTATCAAAAACAACTTGCAATTCTACTCCACAATCACTCCTCTGTTAAATTCTAAGCTACTTCTCTGATCTACTTCCCTCGATTTCCTCTTGTTCTTCTACTTCTCGCATCTCTGTGCTTACAAAAATACAAACAGATCATTAAATTACGTCCTAATTTGGTGCCATATGTATTTTTTTATTTGTATATAATCTATGGCTTGTGCTGTTGTGCATATAGATCATCATCATTATTGCAACTAGTAGTAGCCCAAAAGTAACTTTTTCTTCTTCTCTGATGTGCTTTTTGTGTAGCTTTTCTAACAAATTAAAGTAGTGATATTATGCGGTGTCATCTGCGTCAGATGAGCTCTGGATGTGTTGTTAATCAGACAAACTTTGGCCGTGGTTTTTCTTGGGGTTCCTTGCAGTGTAGAGTTCATCTTGCACTTCGTATGTTGCGTGAGAGAGAACCATTTCACTTTACATATAACCGAAAAAGTGAAAACCAAATGATCATCTTCAGTTATCAGGATACACAAGGAATTGGAAAGTAAGATGAAAGTGTTTGTTCTTGCAATCTGATCAACTCAAGGAACACTCAAGTCCATCATCCATTGTAGCAAAAGGAAAAGAAAAAGGTGTTCTGCTTTTCTGCTAGTTGTGTTAGGGCAGTCCCAATAAAAGAAACTAGTAGTTTCTATAACATAGGATACCGCACCAAAAAAGTACTGCTTTCCAACCTATGGTTTCTATGAGTAATAATTATTTTCTCTTTCTCTCTCCCAACTCTATCTTCTTCCTCCAATGGGAGTGCGACACGAGCTCCCTAGAAACTGGTAGTTTCTCCCCAATGACGATTTCATGGTTTCTTGGTGCATTGGGTCAAGAGTACACCTGATTTCTTTATGAGAAAACAATTTCTATGATTTTTGCTCTCTTTCTTCATTAATTACGTTGCCATGTCAACGTTTTGCCTACGTAGCAAGTCATTTAATGAGGATAGAAACCATCATCAATACATCATTGGGACTGCCCTTACCACACCATAAATATAAAGCTAAACACACGAGCATAGTATGACAACGGCCTGCTCTCTCGGCCTTGTGCCCCTGACCTCAGAATGAACAGTGAAAATGATGATATATATCGTCAAAGCATGAAAACAAAGCAAATAGAGTGGCACAGCATCTCATGCCTCAACTTTAGAAACATCTATCTATTCTTTTGTATGACTAGTTCTAGTCTGTACTTAAGTACTTTACAAGGATGAAGTGGGAGCTCAGAACAGGCACATTGCTTCCTTCCAACACTTGCTCTAAGTAGGCCTGACATCTTAAATACAGGATCAAGGCCTCAGCAGCTGAAATTGTCAGCTGAAAGAATCAACAGACGACAAACTGATTGTTCATCTCAATTTGGCCGTGCTACAACATCATGCCAGAGACCTCATCTTACACTTGAACCCACTGGTTCGGTTCTCATATATCACCACACGCCGACTCCTGTGACATTTATATAGTATCCCCACAGGTTGCTCTTAGTTGTCACTCCCTAGTAATCCATCTGTTCCCTCGGATCTCAAACCCACCTAGGCCATGGTCGCTGCTCTCTCCACCACTCTCTGCGCTTGCATAGCCTGATTTCCTGCGTTGCCTTCGTGCTTTCTTTGGGCCACTGTTGTCACTCAGGCTCCCATTCAGGAGCGGATCATCAATCCCACTGATAACCCTGGTCAAGGATGTGGGTGAACTGATGCAGCTATCGTCATTTGTTTTCTTCTTTCCCTTCTCGCGCTTTTTGATGTTCTCTGATATCATGTGCAGCTTTTCATTGATTGGTTCCACAGCATGGTTCACAGTAAACTTCAAGTCATTCACAATCTGCGAGATTGGTCAGATGAGATTTCATTTTGTCTGACATAGGAAAAAAATAGTAATTCAAGTAAAACAGATGAAGGTAAATGAGCATTCGTCCCCTTACGTATTCACCACCTCCAAGTACGACATCACGAACGCTTTCTTTTATGGCAGTGGAACACCTGACACGATCATCTGGCTGGGGAAGCCTAAACTTGGTTGGGCGCTCACTATCCTTGACTTCATCTGGATCTAGAGGGCAGTGGACAGAAGCATAGTCTCCAAGAACTGAAACATCTCCAACAAAACGATCACCAATTAGCTCGTATGGCTTCGCAGGGAAGACATACAGGTGGACAACGGCAGCAACACCCATCTGCATAGCACAGAAGACTGTTAGGGTTTACTTCAAATGAACATGAACAATGCAAACATGCATAAATATTGACCTATAGAACATGCCCTCTTCAAACTACTAATAGCAAAGGTTCCCCATATGAACAAATGCTAAATAATGTATTGAAAAGGTAAGTTAACCACCTCTATGCAGATAATAAAGTCTTGGATACTTGACTTGAACTGCAATTCTTGAGCAATAGGACCTCTCAACAAACCCCAATTGAAGAGCAGTGCGATTGCTATACCTTGCCACCATGTTAAGAATACAATAGACTTGAATGTCAGAAACTTTGCAAGAGGCTTTATATGAGCTAACTCGTCCTTTATCACAGCATAGATGATAGAACTGAACGAGACAGTATAAGGCCCATGACTGACTGAAATTGAGAACCACAGCTGTGTAAGAGTACCTGGTAGACAAGTAAATAATTCAGTAATGGCAAGACAATGATTGTTTAATTCCTATGTCATCAAATGCATGAGCAAGTTGACCAATGCTAGCATATGTGCAACAGAATATAATAGGCAAACAGACGAGAGAGGGAAAAAGAACAGCAAACAGCTTATGTTTTCAAAAAGTGCAACTTAACAAACAATTTCTGAGCTATGTATAGTATCCTAATACAGGATGAGGCATCTAAAGAAAAAAGTACGATACAGGATAAAAATGAGGGCCATAACCACCATAAATTAGATGCAAACGTTAGTTGTGACTGAGTGTTATCAAATACATTCATGCAGCTCGTGAGAGTCAACTACCACGACACGGAACACCAGAAATAGAGCACATAATCTGACATATATGGTTCAAGAAAACAGCAAGTTGACTATAGGTGCAGGACAGCTAAATCTAATGATACACTACGTGATATATAACATATAACATATACATGCCTGCCCACAGTTCAAAGGAAAATGAGCATAAATGCATTTGCATTTTTAATAACTTCCAAAAAAAGATAGTAGGATGGGAACAATGTAGCACAGATGAGACAAGTTCGTGCAAGGATTGTTGAGTAAATGAAGTCAACTTATATATCTCTTACCCACAGTTCAACTTAAACTCTCCTTCACAGTACACTCCAAAGGCTTCAAGAATCACCGCAAGAATAGCACATATTGATTTTATTATCATCTGTCCAAGGACAAGGAAAATGAGTTAGTTTGAATTTTCACAACACGCTGCAAAGCCATTGTGATGAAAGATAAAGAGCCACATACATATTGAACTAGCCCAAATTTGATGAGCAAGTAGAACCATTCACCTAGCGGCCACGGTTTCAGTATGTAGTTCATTGGAAAAGGATGGTTTACATATCGTTGTTCAGATGCTTGACCTAAAAGTGGTGCAGCAGAACCTGAACCACCTTCCCTATTCAAAAATTCAATTGTCCTATCTTCACCACCTGGCATAAGTGAGTGCATGGTAAGGCCAAGATATGGATAATAACATTGGAATGTGAAGTAATAATTGAGAGAGAAGTACCTAAGCAAGCAACTAGATAGCGCCCAAAACAGTACATAGCAAATGCCTCATATCCATCTCGCATAATTTCAATATCCACACTTATTGATGGATATACCAATGAAAAGTACTGCAAGAGTTCTCATAAAATGTTAAACGGTATAGCGATGCAACAATTGAACAGCTAGATCTCATCCTATACTTGGACTGTAAATACAGGTGTTAATCTGGGATGAATGACAAAGCAGCAGCATAGCACCTTACCGACTCGACTGCATAGCACGGCACCATGAGAATGACGCCGACAAGAAACTTCTGTTCCTGAATGAACACAGATGTGGCACGAATGAGTGAAAAGACCAAGTGAGACACAGTTCAAACAATTTACCACATTGATTTAAAATTTTAAATAGCAAGCGACACTGATAACAATTCACAACCTCTGGGTTTTTGTAGGCTGACAGATGGTTGAACAGCAAGTACAAGGACAGCGAGAAGGATATGATAACAAAAACACCGGCGATGATTGTAGCCCATAGAGGTGGTGTATAGCTTCCGAGAACCGTGAGCAATTGCTTGGCCAACTCCATCGCCATCCCTTCTCACAGCCCCCCTTAACCGGTCTTCTCAGATTATGCTCCCTTTCGAACGAAATCTGTTCCAGGGTATGGTTCATAGAGGATCATAATTCACAACCCCTAAGTCAAACAGGAGCTCTCCTCTTGTTGAGCAGCCTGGCAGTACCAAGAATTCTGTTGTTCCACCTGATACTCTGGTCTTTTCCTGCAAGCACCATATATAAATAAATAAAATATATAAAAAGAGATAGAGATGACTGAACTCGGAGAGGCCTAGCCAATACACCAGTCCTCTCCTCCCCATACGCCGTATGGATTTGTGACCGCCTAGTCCTCAGCTACAGCCGGCGTGCGCCTCGTCTCCTCCGCTGCGCACACACGCCTCCTCTTCCTCTGATCCAGGTTAGGGCTGGACGCTGGCCGGCGGGGGCTGGATGGGTGGGGGGCGAGATTGAAGAAGAGAGGGAGGGGAAGGTTGAAGACGAACATAGCAGGGGGCTGGCGGGCGGTGTATGAGCCCATGGCGACGGCGGCGAGCGGCGGCGCCGTCTTCGTCAAATTGCCAAGAACTACTCGTCACCGACGAGCAACTAGACGAAAGAATCAAATCAAAAAGAAGAGGGGCTAAACGAAAGGATACAAACCTAGAGAATCGGATCTGAGCTGGAGCGAACCACAATGCAGGAGGGATCAACGAAAACCGACCACCGGAAGAGCAAGACTCCCTCCGCAATCAATCAGAGAGTCCCATCAATCAATCCGAACCAACTGGCGCACAAGAGAGAACCAAAAAAAAAAAAAAAACAAGCTTTGCCTGCGTAGGATTAATTGGGATTGGGTGGGGAGCATGGATGCTGATTAATGCAGAGGATTAGGTGGCGGAATCGTAGTTGCCAGGGGGAGCGGGAGACAGGGACGGCGGTGAGAGAAATTCTTTCTCCTGCATCACATGCTCCCAACGTTTCAGGTTTTGTTTGCAGTCGCTGTCTGTCGGGTCAATCAGGATATCTCTCGCGCTCTCTGGTCCCTCTCATCCTGCCCTCTTCTTTTCTCCTGTGCTCTTGCGTTCGTTCTCTGCCTACTCCAGATCGGAGCCCCCAATTCAAATTTGGATCTTGAAATGAAGAATCTTTTGTTTTAACGAAAAATCTACCTGTACCAGGGTATTCCAAACTCGAAGTTTCATCAACAGGTGCATCACCACGAACCATCCATCAGCAACTGCATGCAGATTATTATCCCTTTTATAGAAAATGAGTAATAATGAATCAATGGGTGGCTGCCACTTCACTTGGATTAGCCTACAGATAAAGTCTTTACTCGTTCCGTCTCAAAATAATTGCAAATTTCAGTTTTTGAAAAAACATTATTATTTTAAAATTTAGCTAGATCTTATTAAAAAATATTATCAACAGTTGTATGTCCTGCTATATTTGTTATGAAAATATTTTCAAGGTTGTTAGTGTCAGGATGTCCAATTCGGAGCGCTAGCGTCAGTGCCCACGCCGTCTATGTTTTTTAAGCGTGCCCCACCACATGGGCCCCTCATGTCTGCGCTTGGTTTCTCTGCACCCGCTCGGCGCCACGGCCCCAACAACAGGTCCGTGCCGCCTGGACATCACCCTACAGTAACAACATGTGACTACGATAGGTGGGTCCCATTGCAACATATGCAACACCAGATCTACTTTTATAACACCCAGGTGAAATACTTGCAAAACACATGAGAAACACTTGAAGCCGTTGTAAACATATGCGACATCCAGATGAAAATATTTGCAACAGGCATATGAAGCAACTGAAACACTTGAAACATAAAATTACAACATGCACGTATATGCAACATCCAAATCTACTTTTGCAACATCCAGATGAAAACACTTGCAACATATGTCGGATACAAATGAAACATTTGGAACATACACTTAAAACATACGGGTATAGCCATTGCAACATGTGCAACATACCGATCTACTTTTGCAACATTGATATAAAACACTTACAACATACATATGAAACACTTGAAAGATACGTTTGCAACATGCTCTTTCAGCGTAAATATCTCCTTGCTGCTTCGGCGAATGGAGTCTCATCGGCGCATGGAGGTCACCGTTGTGCTCGCCGGCGCATGGAGCTCACCAAAAACGCAGAGATGGGCGGCGACACATAGAGGGCGGGTGTGGGGGTGACACGGGCGGCGGTGCGCGTAGAGGGCGGGTGGACGGTGCGTGGAGGTCACCGGTGTACTCGCCGGTAATACGGAGCTGGGTGGCGGCACACAGAGGGCCGGGTGGGGACGACATGGGTAGAGGTGGCGCAAAGGGCGGGTGGCCGTGGCGTGGGTGACGCAGAGAGTGGGTGGAGAGTTCGGACGTCGGACGCTTGTGTTAGAGCGTTTCAGAAATATTTTTCTAATATTAATTTGATGGTATTCATGAATATCCATATATTGTTGTATACATTTAGTCAACTCTAAAAAGGTATAACTTCTGCAGTTATTTTAGGATGGAGGGAATAGCTTGCAAGCAATGGAGACCCTTGAAAGCCTATGAATCAAATTTTTAAGTTTCCCATGGATTAGTTGGCAAGCTCAATCCTTTTCCGACGCTTTCAAACCGTGGGGTTGTCGAGCTTTTCTTCTACCCAAATACAGGATTAGTTTGTATTCGTATTTTGTATGTGTCATCACAGTGTTAGCTTGTGATGAATGATGAGAGAGTGTTCAAATGCAAGTTCAACTTAAGCTCAAAATTTTAGAACTTCATCTTTAATTAAGCATGTTTTGTTTCTAAATGCAAAATGTCACTACCAATAGAGTATTTTTTATAGTTGGCTGCGACAAGGAAGCTCCATGCGTCCTTATGCAGTGCCTCTATTTTTTTTTCTAAAAAAGGCAATTTTCTTTTTAAATGATATTTAAAAAAAATATAGGCATTACTTTTTTTTGAGAATTTATTTTTCAATCTTTTTGGAAACACCCCATAGGCATTGGCGCGGCATGGCCCCTACCATTGACGTGATATAGTCCAGCATGCTTCCAACTTTTTTTCCCTTTAGCAACCCAAAACTTTTGTTTAGGTTTGCAAAAATCCACTTGTTAAGACTTGGTTAGCCCAAAGCCCACTTTCTCAAAGATATAGTAGACCCAAATACTTACGCAAAGAAAAACAAGTTAGACCCATCCTTCTAGTTTTGCGGTCAGACTGGACTTTCTAGCGGTCAAAGCGATCAACATCCACAATAGCCCTATTTCTTGACCTTCAATCGACCAGTTAAACAGTTAGGCAGTCACCCCGTACCTCTAGGAGGTTAGATCGCCAGCGTCAAGCAACTCTTCACGTGCAACGGGTAAGTGCCTTGTCGTCACTCCTTCAGTGCCCACCTGTCAACTTAAGCCTGCATCCAACACCATTAGCATACCCCTCTCCTTTCGTCGTCCCTCTTCATTCCCACCCACCCCATTGTTCGCCATTCTCCCCAACCCAAGGCTAGTAAGAGGGAAAGTCCATGGAGTTTCAATTGATCCTTAAACCATCCCAACCTCTTGAGATCATTAGACCAGATCACTAAAGCTTTCCTTCAGAGCTTGGGAGCCCTTCTTGGATTTCTTCTTCCACTTCAACATGGGACATCATAGATGGCTAGAGGTCACATGGTGCATCATAGATATTAAGGCCTTGTGTTAAATCCAGCGTGTAAAGTTTTGGAGTGTCACGTCGGGTGTCACATGGGAGTGTCGCATGGGGTGTTCGAATACTAATAAAAAAACAAATTATAGAATCTGTCAGTAATCCGCGAGACAAATTTATTAAGCCTAATTAATCCGTCATTAACGCATGTGTTACTGTAGCATCACATTGTCAAATCATGGACTAATTAGGCTTAAAAGATTCGTCTCACAAATTAGTCGCAAACTGTGCAATTAGTTATTTTTTAGTCTATATTTAATACTTCATACATGTGTCCAAATATTCGATGGGATATGGAGTAAACTTTAGGGGGAGGAACTAAACAAGGCCTAAGATTGATCTGGCAAAAACAATAGATGGCTAGAACAATTTAGATGACGTGGCTTATCGTGAACATAGAGAAGTAACAATTAATGACTCTTAGTGAGTTGTATCTATATAGGTTATATAGAATATATCCTAGGAACCAATAGATATGGAAGGCTTGATATGGTTACTTAGGCATTTCAGGCACGAGGCATGTTGGTAACAACCAAGTCTAATAGGACTAGACAACAATTGAAACTTGTGGATGATTTTGCTACCGGAAACCTTATTAGGACAATCACATAGTAGTAAACTTGATTATTTTGTATGCCTTGGCAGAGCTAGCTACTACAAGCTCACTTCAGAACCCAAAAGTCGAAGTGCTATTCCAAGTTGTAGATAGCACTTCGTGCTGAAAGGCCTTCTGCTTCAATGGATCATAAGCTTCTTTGCTTACTTTGCTATCTTTTACTCCTCCAGATGCACTTAGACTTTTAATGTTCAAAGCATAGTGCAGTAAAAGAAACGTACAAGATAGGATAAAGATGCCAGCGGAAGAAAAAAAAAATCTGATCCTAAGCTAAAAGGATCAAACTGATGGCATCTGAAGCAAGAAATATGCTTATTATTACCCAAAGAGTGAAAGACACTTTATACACAGCATCCATGACCAACAAGAAAATGACAAAAACTGATAATAATGCCATGCACATACCTGAAAGCATGCTACATAATTTAAGATCAGGAACAAATGGGCATGAGACATGGCTTCAGGTTTCACGCATCAACTGTCTGGCGTCGATAACCGTCTTGAGTGAATAGCGAGATATAAAAAGTTTTTTTCGCAAATATACAGATATACAAGACCTGTAACAATGGAAAAATACCAACAGTGACAGTGCATTGAGATGGAGCTTTTTTGTCTAAAGGCATCCTTCAGATTGCAGAGGCGCAGAAAAAACAAATTCAGCAGATCCACACAATCAATGTTTATTTTCAGATTGCAGAGGTGTCACATAACATGACCAAAGAATAATGCCCAAGATACAACGAATTAAATTCCAATGGATATAATTGGAAAAAAACTAAACAACACAAATACTGTTTCATTGAGGTTAAGTTATTGAACTAACGAACAACACACCAACCCAGCCCCCCACCAAATAGTTGCTGCAACAGCTGTTGCATATATGCAGATCCCACTCTGTAGTTTAGTCGAAGTAGCCTCTATATACACCTCTCTTTCACTCTTTCCATGGAAGTAGTTAGAGTGTGTATAACCAGCCAATTATATTAGTTCAAGCTTAGGTTCTTGCATCCAGCAAGAAAGTTGCAGGTTCTGATTTCGCAGCACAGCCATATCTAAAAGTGCTGTACTTTCTATGGACCCCGGTAAGTTTTCCATGAGCTGCTCTTTGGTGCAGTTCAACCATCATCCTAGAGCAAACCCTGCAACGTAGAAGGGACCATGTAACTGTAAGCACAAACTGAAAAGGTATGCCTTTTGTAATATATAAAGAGTAGGGAGGTATAACTACATTAGTTGTTCTTCTGAATATTTTGTGTGCAGCTCACAGCATTTGTTCCAGGACTTGAACCCATTTATGGTGCATTGAGCTGTGTAGATGGCAGCAGCTGCTAGCATAGACGGGCAGAAGTGGAGCATCTCGTATTCGACAAGACTCAGCTCGATCATGAAGAAAGACAGGAGTTCGAGCTGTCCAGTGGTATAAAGATTTTGTCAGGGTTTATGCACTTGTACAACAAACCTATAGCTTACATGATTTATTGATCACAAAAACAGGAGTATGTATTAGTATCTTACCTTCTTCTCAGATTGTGCTGCCTTTAGAAACCTTCTCATGAAACAGTATGGAGTTGGCACCGACATATTGAAATTAAGTGTGTTCACTATCCTCCTCTCCTGCAGAGATTTGAATGTCAGTTATCTGTTTTTTTTTTTGCACTAAAAATCAACATGCAGCACATTTTTTACCATTTCAAGAATATCAGCCCTTGTGTAGGCGCGATCACAGATTAAGATCAGATCCTCGACCACCGGTACGCTCACTTCTTCATACTTGCACGCGAGCAACATAGCAGTTACACCAACTAACTGAAGCTTCTTCCGCACCACAGTTTCACGTGCCAAGAATCTATCTATGATGTTCACGGTTAGGAAAAGGGTCTCCTCCAACAGCTCTAATTTGTAGTGTACCTGCATTGAAAAAAGAAATAAAACATGGAATTTTAAGGTCTTACAGAGCATATGAATAATACTAAATCGAAAGCTTTAGACGTTTGCTTAAAATCCCCACCTCTATCAGCCAGTCAATTAGAATGCCACGCATCTTCTCATTTATATCGGTTTGGCTTGACATGTAATTTGTAGGGACACAGCTTGCACCCTATGTACACAGAATGTTGCAATGAGATTACAAATGACAACCAGAGTAATTGAACATAACTTCAGGTTTAGAAGGTCAGAGTTGTACCTCAGTTTTCCTGTAAAATCTGTAAATTTCATCTACATAGTCAACCACAGCTAGGGAGTTTCCTGCATCACAACTGTCAATATCAGGTGCTGCCTCCTCGATATCTTCCATCTCAATCTCTTTCAGTTCAGAGTTCATCTGAAATGACTTGTATTAGTGACAATTACCAAATACATAGTCTACTATGCTTACCAAGGGCAAAGTAATGTCAATTTACCATTTCATCCATCTCCGACAGCATAGGCAAGGGAATATCATCAGTCATTTTTGTGCTTTCCATATCTGCAGGTGTGTGGAATGCTGTATCTGCGTTTCTTTTCAGTCTTTCACTTCCAATTGGGGCCTGCACGGCAATAAAATATTCTGAGCTGATATATGAATACTACTACTTGTTGAAACAAGGTCCGATTTCACTGGTAATGTGGAGATGTGAACCAAAAGAAAGTTGCACGACATTTATATGAGCAAAAAGGTCTACTAGAATAACATAACGTTTGTAGAATATTCAAATTCTATATATGCATATTCAAATGTACACAACATACAAGAGCAGTCAGCACAAATTAGAAGATTCAGTGCATAGATTAAAACTTTACATGCTATATGCAAAAGCTGAATTTATTATTATATATATAAAGGACTTCAATATACAAGTTTGAAGTCCATGGGTCAGATATTTGAATGGCCATATTTACCACAAGTTGCAGCAACATGCATCCAAGAATTGTCAATTTCACAGCAAAAACATAGTGCATCACATTCAAATATATCAAAACTGGATATACTACGTGCAAATAAAATCTGAATTCTCTTTCACACTGATGAAATGTCTGAATTGGCATATTTACCATAAGAAGCAGCAGCATCTATCAGGAAATTATCTAACTGGCAGCAAAAGACAGTGCACTGCACATTCATAATCTGGCTCCTACGTCAATCCTAACTCGTATAATGCCATAATGGGAGCGTAAATTTACAGAAACAAACAGCAGTGCACAGAGCAGACACTATCAAACTAGCAACAATTTGAATATCTTTAATGACTATTACCACATGGGCAACCGTAGGTTGGTTTGCCAATGTTGCAGCGAATTTCCTGCCAAAAGAGCAAGACATATTACTTCATTAACCTGATATATATGGTAATTCGATACATGATGGTAAGTAGTAACTAGTAGAAGTATGTAGCAAACCTGGTGACCGGACGGTGTCCAACAAAGCCAGCTTGATCTTTAGTATTTACAGCAGCAGCTGGTTTTCTAAAGCAATGAAATTTAAACCAATTAGTGATCCAGTTCATGCAATTGGAAGCTACAGGTCAAGCAAAATTTGTGCACAGCTCGGGGGACGGGGGCTTACTCTGAGAGACCTCTCTTGCTGACAGCCAAGTGTTGGTGCGTGCCTCCTATTATGTTCTTGATGTCGCTGAGGGCTCTCCGGTTGGTGTAGGCCATCTCCGGCGCAAACTTGACGCCCTCCATGGCAACACCTTGGTGGCCGTTTTCAGATCTCAGATTCTCCATTGCTGACGAGCTACTGCAGCAAGAAAGTCAAACCGAACGGTACATGAGAAACCGATAAACGCCAAGAGCCACGCGGATCTGCTTAAAGCAAGGCCTTTTGGTTTGAATATCGCGTGACATTCCGCATCGTAGTACGTCAGAACGATTCGAAGACGACAAATGCGGCAGGTAGGACCATAGGAAGGTCTAGATTAAAACGCTGCGAGTTTCGGGGCAACTTTGAGAAAAAAAAAAGATCCTGCTGCTGAGCTACCGATGGTATGTTCCATAGCTGGAGTCTGGAGAGAAGCAAGAGATCCCCCAGCTCAGGCTCAGTCAGAGAAGAGGAAAAGAGGCAACTTTGAGAAATTCGGGGCAAGAAGCTCGAAAGAACTCGGGTTCCGAGAACGCCAGGCCAAATTCTCGGCGTTCGTCGATGGAATTCGAAGAGCATGGGAGATCTTCGGGAGCAGATCCGTCCGCATCAGGCAACAAAGCTAGCTAGCTAGCTACAAGTCTGAATGCAATCTCGCTTTCATCTAATCTTCTCCCCGAATTGCTCCATCTGACCGGAGATCCAAGGGAGTCGCAGCTCAAGAACCCAAATCCAACGCAAAACAAGAGCAGGAAGCAATTCGAACCCTAGCGCGAACTAAAGCTCAGACTACCGCACCCAACAACCCCGTTCAAGAAACGCACGCGTCAGTCCAAGAACCAAGCGTTCTTTCACCCACACGGCCGCCGGATGCGAAAGAGAAGCACGCACGTACGGACCTTGGGGGTGAACCAACGGGAGACGAAGCGCAGCACGGCAGGAGCTCTCCCCCCTGACGGACTCGGCCTTGCCGCCTCTCCGCTTGCTGGTGGTGTCAGGCAGAGGCAGGAGCCAGCAAGAAGAAGAGGAGGAGCGGAGGAGAGAGACGGGCCACGGGAGCGATAAAGTAGGGGGAGGAGACCCAAAAGGGGAAGGGCGGGCCGAGCCGTTTAAACGCAACGGTCATGCCATGGGGGCCGTCGGATGGGATCTGGACGGCCGGGCGAGCTGTGGGGCGCCCCTCAACGGCTAGGGATTCCACATGTGCTCCTGCTTTCAAAAATATAAGCACACTTTGTTTGCAAGCCTTGATGACCCAGCAAAGACTTTTTAAGACTGTGGATAGATGACCATTACATGAGGCGGCGTCAGCTTTAAGTTTCCATCTAGTAGACAGTATATATGTGCATCTTTTTAATTAGCTATGCATGTGTAGGATAAAAAGACGCATGTGTAATTCCTATGCAGGAGTATTGCTGAGTTTAGTTCCATGGGTTGTTTTCACATTCTTCGTACTAAATTTAATAGATTTATAATCGCCGTGATATGCATGTATTGTTGATTTTGGTTCCATGGGTTGATTTCACGTTCTTCGTACTCAGTTTAATAATTTTATAAGTATCGCAGTATGCACGATCGATTTTGGTTTCATGGGCTGATTTCATGTTTCTTCGTACTAAATTTACAGCCTTATAATTGTCGATCGAGCAGCAATAATTGGGTTGATTTTCATGTCTTTGTGCTAAATTTATAGCCTTATAATTGTCGCGATACATATTGCTAATTTTAGTTCTATGGGTTGATTTCACGTTCTTTGTATTAAAACTCCATGTCCAGAGTTTCGATTATAACATACTTTTAATTAAATTCATTTATCGTGGTGTCACGAGGAGCTCTATTTTATGCTCAATTTAGGCCGGAACAGGCCTGTTCGCTTGGTCGTAAACGATCGTAAATTTTCAGCTAGAACAGTATTTTTCTCTTACACCAAATCAGCCAGCAGTAATAATCCACGATCGTATACGATCGTTTCAGCCCCAGCCGAACAAGCCAATGGTTTACAAATATTATATTCAGTTGTAGCTCTACTACTACTACTGCCGTGTTTGAACTAGTCGTTCCTGGACGCTCATCACTACTCCTCCGTACTGCCTAGCTGTATTCGCCTGTGGGCCCCACTCCGTCCAGTCACATCTCTACCGTTATGCTGAGTTGCTGATACTGACAGTGGCATCGTTGGCTACTCCCAAGAGGAGAATGAGAAACCAAGGGGCTGTTTGGTAGCCGGCTGCAGCCTACCACCGCAGCGGAGCCCACGTCACACTTTGTGGCGAGCGTTTTGGCTGCAACACCCGCCACGGAACATGGCGTGTTTGGTTGGCAGCCGCCACGCCACGGCTCCGGCAGCCACAGGACCATGGCTAGCGTTTGGTTCCGTGCCAACTCCATCACGCCATGGACTGCGGCGGCCACCAGGTGTGTGGCTGGTGTTTGGTTCTCAATTAAATTGTGGCTGCCACAACTGTCTCTAGTACAAAAGCACGTCAAACCTGTGGCGGCCAAATACACCACCTAACCTTTGGCGTCGCCTTCGTTTGCATGGTGGCGAGCCACAGCCTGAAGAGCTAAAGTTCGGCGACGCCACACATGGCATGGCAACTTGTAGCCGGCAACCAAACACGCCCTACATGATAGACACTGTGGCGGCCGCATCACGAGGCGAGCAACCAGGCAGCAGCCTTTGTCCGTGGCTGCCTAACTTTAGCTGTGGCGAGCGGCGGCCGGGAAGCAAACACGCCCCAAATGTCCAACTATTTGTAAATTCCTAGTGGGAAACAGATAGACTAGATATTTGGGTTTCAAAATTTGAAAATCAGTTGAAATTTGTTGCAAAATGAAATTAATGGATACGATGTGCCAAAGAAAACTAAAGAGCGTATCTTCTGATCCAGGTAGCTAATAATTAAATGGTTGGATGCAGTTGTTTTACAGGTTTTGTCTCTGGTTTAAGATTTTCCATATAACCTGTTTTAGGGTCTGTTTGGTTCGCCTAGTACTTACTAAATTTAGTAGCTTTTAGTCACTTTAGTAACTTTTCAACCAAACATTATAACTAAAAGCTACTAAAAGGGCTTTAGTCATCTCTAATAACTCTGGAGTTACTGACCAAACCGTTTAGTAGCTACTAAAGTTTAGTAGCTCGAACCAAACACCCCCTTAGAATTCCCACGGTATGTATTGCTGATTTTGGTTCTATGGGTTGGTTTCACGTCTCTGTACTAAATTTAATCGCTTTATAAGTATCGCGATATGTATCGCTGATCTTGGTTCGATAGGTTGAATTCACGTTCTTTGTACTAAATTTAATAGCCTTATAATTATCGCGGTCGACTCTACTAAACGCGGAGTAGTCGGTTTAATTGCAATACTAAAATTATCTGTCCTGAGTTTTGGTTATAACTTACTTTTAATTAAACTGATTTACCGTGGTGTCATGACCAATTATGTTTTATGCTCAAATTAGTTATGCTGGAAAATTGTTCAGAAAAACACAGGAAATCTATTTTTTGCTCAAATTAGTTATGCTGGAAAATTGTTCAGAAATAAACACCCGGAAGAACAAATATTCAGTTGTAGCTCTGGCACTGCTACTACCGTGTTTGAGAGGAACTAGTCGTTCACGGACTGTCATCCCTGCTCCTCCGTGCTACTGCTACTGCCTAGCTGTTCTCTCGCCTGTGGGCCCCACTTCCTCGCAGTCACATCTCTACCGTTTCGCTCTTCCCAAGAGGAGAATGAGAAACCAGTGTTCAACAATTTGTAAAGGCCTAGATAGTGTGAAACAGGTAGGCTGTTCGCTTGCTCGTAAACGATCGTAAATTTCCAGCCGAGAACAGTGTTTTTCTCTCACACCAAACCAGCCAGCAGTAAATAATCCACGATACGATACGGCCTCCCGAACAGGCTGTAGATATTTTTAGATTTCAAAATTCGAAAATCAGTTGAATTTGTGGCCAAATGGATTAATGGATACATGCCAAGGAGAACTAAGCGTATCTTCTGCTCCAGGTAGTAAATAATTCAGTCGGCTTATCAGCTAGAATCTACAGTATTTTTCTTTCACAACAATTCAACTTCAGCCAGCTTATCAGTCGGCTTTAATACCAGCCGAACAGGACCTTTATTAAATGGTTGGATGCAATTGTTTTACAACTTTCCTGTCCCTGGTTTAAGATTTTTCATATAACCTGTTTTTGAGTTTCATCCCACTTTAACGACTAGGAATTCAGCAATCTGTAGGCCCACTTCAACGACTAACGACTAGGAATTAGGAAATCAGCAAAGAAGAAGGAAAAAATAAACTTCAATCTTCAATATGATGAATAATCGTGATCTTCGTGTTTTCAAAAGTCTTTTTTTCAAAGAAAAAACAATTCACCCAAAAGTTATGCACGTTAACGTGGCAAAAAAAAAAAAGAGAAATAGAAACGGTTCAATTCCAATGTTCGAAATGGGACGCAAGCAAGCTTCAAATTTCCCTTACTAGTCTTACTATGGACAAATGAATTGTTGTTAGGGAGCCTATGCAAAATCATTGTTCGGCGTGCATGCGTTGCCATGACACGTGAGCCCCCTTCTCGAATGTATATCCAGTTCAAAAATAAGATCTCTTAATTTAAAATGACAAATATAAATTTGAAAAAAGTAAATGGTAATGACAATAAAACTATAAAAGTTTCTGCAAAACAATGGACGCGGTACTGCACTGACAATACAAGTTACTGGCAACATCTCGTTTCATTTGGACGGTAGCCTTTGCTCCATTTTTTATTCTCATCTTGTCTCACTGGCCCTGCCTTGCGCGTATATTCAAATTCGCAAATGTACAAAAACATGCACGGATAAAGTAGAACAGTTTGTTTCTTTTGCTGTCACAGGTCAACTTTTGGATACGTTTACGGGCGCGAAGAAGGAAGGGGGGAAATTGAAATATTTGGAGCAGGGAAGGAAAGCTCGGTGGCAGATGAGTAGCAGTGAGGTGCCATGGAATGGAACGAGAGAAGAACCGAAGAAGAAGAGCCCTCTCTCATTCTAAACGTAAGCCATTATTTTAGTCTTGGCAACAACTCTCTAAAGGTAAGTCATACTCCAGAAAAAGGGTGCCATTCTAGTTCACCTCTAGTCAAATTAATTAGAGTTTTATTAA